CCAGCCCCAGTGCATGTGGCTGGCGCCCTAACCTCTGAGTTATGGTGGTTAGTAAACTAAAAATGATTTTTAATAATAGGTTTTATAGAGATATAAGTCTTCCCTTATTTCAAATGTATGAGTCAGTGATATTTTGGTATATTTACCGAGCTATGCAACCATAATCACAATCAATTTTAGGACAATTTCATCACTCCAGAAAGAAACTCTATACCTATTAGCAGTCATTTTCCATTTCCCCACTCCTCTTCTGCCCCCCAGTCCTAGGCAACCACTAATCTACTTTCTGCCTCTATTGATTGTCCTAGCCAGGAGATTATTAAATAATTGGAGATATATAACATGTTCTTTTGTGTCTGTCTTCTTTCACTTAGCATAATGTTCTAAAGGCCTATCCATGTGGTAGCATATATCAGTATTTCATTACGTTTTATTGCCAAATTATGTTTTTGAAGATTATTTTGGCATTTTCTTTTCATTGTGAAATAAACACAAAGGTCTCTAGTCATAACAATTTTGAAGAGTGAACCAACTCATTTCTATAATCTAGAAAAATCACCTGTGTGATCTAGAGCATTTTGCCCCTGAAGAGTTTTTTCAGCCTTTTAAATAAATGTTTTCAGAAAATGTGATGTTAACTCCTACCAGTAGCAAGCCTAGCTGAACCAGACGCATCATTGTGATTGCAAATTAGTCCATTTCAATATACTTTATTTTGTAAGCATTTTCTAACATTTAAAAGCATTTTTAGGTCATTTCTTTGCTCTCATTTGTAGTTCTTCACTAGGGAGTATTGGCATGTTATAAGAAATAAAATGCCCAGACCACCCTTAGCTTATATACATATCAAAATTTATAAAATTTCTGCAATCAGCTACAGATTTTATATACATATTAAAGAATATTTGTATGTGCTATGTTAATCTTCTTTCTTTTTTCTTTGTTATTTTTGAATATGTGCCATCTTCAGGAGCCTTCGAAAAATGATACGTGCAAAAGGTTAGTATCCCCTTTACAGACTTCTTTTTTATTGAAACAGAGTTTCATTTTGTTGCCCTCGGTAGAGTGCTGTCACAGCTCACAGCAACGTCAAACTCTTGTGACGTTTCAAACAAAAGACCTAATATTTAATTGGGAAAAAATAAAATATTTGGATCAAGTGATTCTCTTGCCTCAACCTCCCAAGTAGCTGGGACTACAGGTGTCCACCACAATGCCCGGCTATTTTTTTTTTTTTGAGACAGAGCCTCAAGCTGTCCCCCTGGGTAGATAGAGACGAGGTCTTGCTCTGGCTCAGGCTGGTCTTGAACCTGTGAGCCTCGGCCTCCCAAGTGCTGGGATTACAGGTGTGAGCCATGGTGCCCAGCCGCTTTACAGGCTTCTTGAATGCTTGACATAATACAGAATGTCTGGTAAGAGGTTCTTCCATAAATATACATGTATAACATAGCTTATGAGTATAGTTTGACAGCTAATTCTGTTTTGGCTAAAATCATTGCACATTCAATAGTTCCTTGACTTTAACAAAATTAATTTTTACAGTTTCAACTGTTTTGAATGATTGTAAAAGGTTCATGCCTTGAATAATTATTAAATCTTGCTGTGGCATAAATTGGAATCACACTAAGTAAAATTGCTGTCTAGTATGTACAGACAGGTAGGTTACTATTACATCAATCCCTCAATCTCTGCAGCTCACCTGAGCCATGCAATTCCACCGAAAACTTAATCTTATTTACTCCTCACAACCACTCTGTAAGGCAGGTGCTATTATTACATTTTAGCAGAAGAAAAAAGTTATTACAGTCATAGTTAGGAATTTAGGCTTTCTCAAAGGTTTACATATATTATATCCCTTACAATAATATTAGCAATTCAGTACTATTAGCTTTGAAAGGTATAAATTATCATCCCTTAAATGCCTCTACTTGAGATGACTGTAGAATTCTGGGCTTATAAAAAATCGTTGTAGAGATTATGTAGAGTTTGAATTTAAAGTATTACAGAGAAAGGGAGAAAATTATATCTTTTTTCCCAATAAAATATTAGGTCTTTTATTTGAAGTAATGAACCAAGTATAAAAAAGTCCAAACTATTAGTATATTTACTTTACTTGATATTAAGGACTATAGTTAGCCAAATGGTACATAAGGAATTTGAAAATATAAGCCACAAACTTGCAGTAGAATTATGCTAAACATAAACCCCAGTAAGTTTATTAGGCAGAATAAAGAATTCTGACAAATCAAAATCCATCAGAGTCATATTCTATTGAGTTATGAAATAACTCAATATTCTATGAAATAACTCAGTAGAATATGAGAAAAAAGATTTAAATACTTGTAGAAGGGGAAACAAATATAAGCACATAGAAAAAAGGTTTAATCTCATTTATCATCAGAAAGATATGGATTAAAATCATAGATATATTTCATGCCTACAAGGTTGGCAAAAATTAAAAATTCTGTACATTAGAGTTGGTTAGATGCTCCCTCGGGTGAGGGGCTCTCCTACAACTTGAACTTTACCTTGGAGTGAAAACAATGTAACCTAAAAATCTGTTCCCTCGTATTAATTTGATATTTAAAAAAAGAGTGTTGATTAGGAAGTGGATCACCGTTCCTTTTATGCACTCCTGCAGTTATGCCCTCCTGAAGGTACAATGAGGTAATGTGTAAATGGGTGTAGTCACTTTGGAAAACGATTTGGTATTATCTAGTAAATTTGACAATATGAATAACTTTTGACTCAGCAATTCCATTTCTAGGGATATACTCAATAGAAATGTATGCACAAGTATACCCAAAAATACTAATACAAGAATGTTCAGAGTAGCATTATTTAAGAAAGTCAAACATTGGAAACAACCCTAATATCCTTTCATTAATGAAATGAATTAATAATTTGCAATTTATTCATACATTGAAATACTACAAAGCAATAAAAACAAATGAATTACAAATATGCAGTAACATGAATGAATCTCCCAAGAAGAAATTCTGTCTTATGGCATGAGGTTACTATTGAACCTGAATCTCCTTAGTGCGGTATAAACGCATTTCCTTTGGTTCGCTCCTCAATGGCAGTTAAGTATTAGGAAAGATTTTATGAGGATTAGTGGTCAACCATTCTCTGTCTTTTGTACTGAAGAATCCTACTTTTGGATTCTGTATTCTTTTGTGGTTGATCTTCAAAAAGCCTGAATTCATTACTTTTTATGGGGAGATTACTTCAAAGTTCCCATATACCATCTTTGCCTGTTTTTTTAAAACCAAACTACCTGGCAGACATTCTAAATTTTCTACAGTAGCTTTCTGCCATACTTAAGTGTACAAAATGCTAGGCATGCTTAGGCCTAGAGAATCATTTTTATTATGGCCCTCAATTCGTTTTATTGGCTTCAAATGTTTTTTTTTTTTTTTTTTTTTGAGGCAGAGCCTCAAGCTGTCCCCCTGGGTAGAGTGCCATGGCATTACAGCTCACAGCAACCTCCAACTCCTGGGCTCAAGCGAGTCTCTTGCTTCCACCTCCCAAGTAGCTGGGACTACAGGCGCCCGCCACAACGCCCGGCTATTTTTGGTTGCAGCCGTCATTGTTGTTTGGCGGGTCCGGGCTGGGGATTCGAACCCGCCACCTTAGGTGTACGTGGCTGGCGCCTTAGCCGGTTGAGCTATAGGTGCCGAGCCGGCTTCAAATCTTTTAATACCAAGACTGTATATGTCTTAAGTAGAAGGGCAGCCAGGTCATTTGGATTATGGAAGAATTGTACCTTAAAACTAGTGTGCTAATTAACTGTATTAAAGAAGAAGAATTATTTTAAGGAGAATGATTACTATTCTGAAACTTTTATGGATAGTCTCTTATAGCATTTTTAAATTTTATGTATGTATGTATATATGTTTTTTGGGGTTTTTTTTGAGACAAAGTCTTATTATGTTGCCCTCGGTAGAGTGCTGTGGTGTCATAGCTCACAGCAACCTCAAACTCTTGGACTTAAGCAATTCTGTTGCCTCAGCCTCCCCAGTATCTGGGACTATAGGCACCCATTACAAGGCATGGCTATTTTGTTTGTTTGTTTGTTTAGCAGGCCCGGGCCAGGTTCGAACCCACCAGCCCTGGTGCATGTGGCTGGTGCCCTAACCACTGAGCATGGGCGCTCAACCTCTTGGAGCGTTTTTGAAGCCATCTGCCATTTGCTTAACTCTGTTAGAGCCATCTATATGCTCTGTGTGTGTGTCCTTATTATTGTCCAAACTTCACCAGAAGATTAAGAGGATGGGTTTGGAATCAGACTACCTGACTCCCTTATTAACTTTGTGATTTGAGCTGCAAAGTTGATATTTCCTATTTCTGTGAATAATTCAGAGTGTCCCAGAAGGCTTCCCTGAAGTCACCATTACAGAATTTTCTTAAGAGGTAGCCGAAATGTAGAGAATATTTTGTAAATATTTTATAAAATTTTGTGTTGAATATTTTGTAGATGAAGGTATATTTAGCTACACTTCACATTTTCTCATGTATGGCAACTTTAGGGGAAATGTTTAGGGTGCCTTGTGTTAGTAACTATTTCATAGCACTTTTGCAGGTTTTTTTTGGCTGGGGCTGGGTTTGAACCCACTACCTCTGGCATATGGGGCCGGCGTCCTACTCCTTTGAGCCATAGGTGCTACCCATTTCATAGCACTTTTATGAGGATTAAATTATTAAAATACAGATAGAGTTTTGCTGATAGTCATATTAGGCACTACTGCTTCAAGTTTATAAAGAGATAAATATATATATACTTCTGTATATATGAAATGGCACTTATATAATGGTGCTTTTTTTTTGTTTAATAATGTTAATTATAGAATATGTGAAAAACAAAAGCAGAAATAAGAAAGTGTGAAACTGGGTGACGCCTGTAGCTCAAAGGGCTGGGGTGCCGACCCTATATGCCGGAGGTGGTAGGTTCAAACCCAGCCCTGGCCAAAAACTGCAAAAAAAAAAGAAAGAAAAGAAAGTATGAAACTATCCATGATCCATAAGGAAAAGGAAAAAAAAAAAAGAGAATAGTGACTAATTCTCACATAAATTGGATTTAATTTTTTTTATTAAATCATAGCTGTGTACATTAATGCAATCATTGGATTTAATTTTGACCAGAGTACATTACTTGAACATTAATTTTTAACTCAACTTGTTAATAGGTTGTTTAGGATATTGCATCCTCATTTATAAGTGAAATATATTTGTAATTTCCCTCTATAATAATATATTTTTTCCAATTTTAATAGCAGGTGGCCCAGATGAAGTAGAAAGATTTTTTTTTTTTTTT